TCGATCCCCAGGAGGTGGTCATCATCGCGCTGTGCGTCCGCCTCTCCTCCATCTCATCGCTTGCTAACGGGGAGCGCAGTGCCGCCTTTTTCGCCCTCTTCACGTCCACGTTGGCCGTAGCGCACACGCGGCTCATCTTGCTCTCGCAGACGACCGTGGAGAGCTATACGGTGCAGACGCTCAAGGAGAGGGAGGCTGATGGGTTGAGGATCGCTGGGCTCAAGGAGTGGGATTGTCGGGCCAAGCGCCAGGCGTTGGCGTCGTACGACGCCGAGTGGGGCGCCCCGAATACCGAGGGTAATCTTTGGTGGGCGGGGTCGAAGAGGAAGGGCTGGGAGGATGTCATGGGTGCGAGTGTGTGGGGGTGGATTTGTGAGTCCTCTTTCTGCTTTCCTTCTTTTTATATTGCGCGGGCGGGTCTTCTATCCGCTGCTCCGGCGTCTCCTTGGGACGTCAATGTCCGAAAATGGTTCTGCACCTTGGGGGCCTCGTGGTCTCCCTTTGGAGGCCGACGGGCGCCTGCGCTACCTTCTTCCTTGTCCTCGTGGGCGATGAGCCGGACAAGAACAAAGCATGCGGAGGGACTGCTTCTGCTCCTGCCATATGTCGTCTCGATGGCGAAAACCGGATGCGTTTGCGTCCTCTTCTGTTTTCGTCGGGCAAGGACGTTACTTCCCCAGATCTCTCGCTGGTGGACGTCTCCCTCTCTCGCCACTTCTCGCGCCCTCGTGGCACGAGGGGTCTTTCCCACCGCTGGCCATATGCGCTCGTCTGCCGCCACTTTCCTCACTGCTTACAGTTTCCTCTGTTCCGTACCTGTACCCTCTCAGACATGCCACTGACCATCTTTCCAGTCCCCATAGGCGCCCCGCTCGGTGACGGTCTGCACTACGTCCCCAATCCGCGGTTTGACGCCGACGGGAGGTGGAGACGACGGAGTGAGTGGCCTGCGGAGTTGCGGTGATGACCCGGGATGGATATGTACCTTTTGCACGATACTGTAGACTGGAGGTGAGTAAGTTTTAATAGCGCTGGATCTACGTAGGTATACATACACGCACGACTCGGAGGACATGCAATATTATGTAAATACCAATTCTTCTGACGAGGACTGCCAGCACTCTGCCAACTCTCCGCCGTTACTGACCCGATCACCACACTTCTCTTTCAGCCATCACCTCGCTCTTGGATGCGACTTAGCTTGTGCTGCCCTCCTCTCTTTCTTTCTCCCAGCCGGTGTACATATTTACTTTATCCCTGAACTAACGCGACTTGTGGCACTCGGGCCTCAAAATGATAGTCGCAGGTTCTTGCCACCTGGTGCGCTGTCTTGAGGAGATATGACTCTGACCTTCAGTACAGTCCCTTTTCTTCTGAGTTTAGTGCATGTGTGGGCGCGGGGCGTCGACTCGCCTCCGAACTCCACGCAGACAGCCTGCACTCGACGCTCCGGAACGCCGTTTCATTCTCAAAAAGACACCCAGTGCCACTCGACTCATGGCACTCGTAGACTGGAGCCAAGACGACGACTCCATGGTCCCCTTTCTCTCCCTTTCAAGCATCGCCAGTGGCGCTTCAAAGCTTCATGGCTGACTCGGCCTACAGTCTACAGCTCTGAGCCCTTGGCAGCTTTCAATGAACCCTTCGTTGCGCGCTGCGCTGCAGTCTTGACTGAAATTCGATCCACCGCTCACGGAGCCCTCATGATCAGGCGTCCTTGTAACACCCCCAAGGCGTTCTTTCTCTTCCAGGTGGCCTTCAGAGGCTTCAACCGGGACTCGCCCTACACAGACGTCGTACGCTATCATTCTCAAGAATGAAACGTTGCGAGCGCGGGGGGCTACAGGGTGAGCTCGGTTGGCGTTGTATTCTCACACAAGATCTGGCAAGTGCGTGCCATGCAGCGCGTGGTCACTGTACTTCAAGGCGGCGGCGGGACTGGTGAGTCGTCGGAGGGGCGCGTTGGTCTTGTGTGTCAGGTTCCAGGTGCGTCTCGATTCGCTCTAGTATGGTATTTAGTATCTACTGATGAGCGTCAATAGGCAAATAGGACTCAAATTTCCAATTCCGACGGAGTAGCACGTACCGAGGGGAGAGGCTTTCGCATCCTTCGGGCTCTATGATTCTGCTCTTCATACGGCCAGCAGGTGGTGATGGGCATCGCCTATGATTCAAGTGGCAGCTTTGTATGTGTTTGGCTCGCAGAGGGCAGCGGTTCCAGGTTTGTGATGCCCATAACTTTCTTTCTTCACCTCAAGAAAAAAATCTGAGTTGGTAGATTCTTTCCAAATATCGTCAAAAATGGTGTGGACTCTGATATTCTACCCCGGGGCTATTTTTATGTTGTATAGGACTGAATTTTGAGCTGTTTTGCCCGCTTTGGGATTTTTGAGAGCGATTGGGATAGAGTCATTGAGTCCACCGGACAGGCACATTATTTCTGTAGAATTTACATCGCAGACCCTATGAGTTTCGGTGAACTTTGAAAAAGTTATGGGCCATCTTCGGACCCGCACTGATCACGGTCCGATCAGTGCTGACATCATCACTGCATCTTGGCGCGTACCAGACGCGTCTCGCGTCCTTGCTCTCTGCATCTCGTTGCTCTGCCTCCTTCACGTCTTCCCATCGATCTCGTTAGCTCGCTCTCACCCCTCTCTACTCCGATTCGATGGCTCCCCGAAGCCAGCGCCAGAAACAGGCACACAAGGTTTGGGATCCTCGAGGTGCCGCAGCCGAAGAGGACGACGAGAACACACCACCATCAGCTCCTCCACCTTCCCAGCATCCCTCCAGTACGAAACCCAAGTCTCTAAAGGCCCAGTTGATCGAGAGAGACGCCCGTATCGCCGAACTCGAGGGCTTGAATGCCATCCTACGTGCCACCCTTTCCGACGTCCACCAAACTCATGCTGCGGCGACAAAGTCTCTGAAATCGGAGCACGACCGACTCACGAATCGAAATTTCCTCCCCTCCACCACCAACAAATCCCTCGGTTCTCAGAAACGAAAGGCGGAGCAAGCCCTTACTGAGGAGATTGACCGCAAGCATAAACGCATAAAAAGGTAGTATTCCCCGGCCTCAGTCTCTATCTGGCCGGGGACCTGAATCTACCCAGACTAGAACGAGAACGAGTTTCGACGAAAGACGCCCATTCTGACGAAATAGCTTGCTTGAACGACGAGTTGCAGAAGAAATCTCATGAATCACCCATCTGAATCGATCCCTGGCCGTCGCAACGGCTGAAATTGCCACTCACACTGATAAAGTCGCGTCCCTGGCTTCCCGACTCGTCGCTAAACAGTCTATACTCACTAGTGTTCGCCAACAACTATATGCGAGCAAGAAACAGGTTGAACGAGCGAAGAAGTCATTGCAGAAGGTGCAGGACGAGTACCGAAAGCTCAAGACTTGGAACCCTAAGATCGGCAACACCTACTCGCCCGATGCACGAGAGCTGGGTCGGCAGTTGACGGAGGACGGATGCGTGGCAGAGCGGGTGGAGCACGCCGTGCTGAGCTGTGCAAAGGCTTTTGGTATCCGGGTCAAGCGTGATGAATTCATGAGTCGCCGTACGGTAACTCGTGCAGTCGATGAGGGTGGGAAGTACGGAGAGATTCAACTCGGCAGGGAGATTATGGAGTCCGAAGGTGCTGTAGATTTCCTTTAAATGTTCTTGACTTCGCTGATGCCTTCAAGGGTTCGTGGAGAGCTCGGATGGTACGACGTACCGTGGAATAAACCTTGAATCACGACATATTGCCCTGCTCGGGCCATCATACGAGCCTGGTGTGGATGTTTCCGACAGGTCGCTCTGGACACGACAGCTGCGATTTCTCGAGGTTGCACCGGCGCTCGACCACACAGGACAGCGTCAGTTCGAGGGAACGATGGAAGCCTCGGAGCGAATCGCTGATGTCTACACTCGAAGTCCCCTCGCAGCTCGTGAGCAGCGTACGATGGAGAAGAACGACTACTGGAGGAAGAAGATAGGCGAAAACAAGGATCACGCCGCTGACGGCAAGAAGGCGTTCAAACTGTCGGCGGAATACAAGAAGGATGTTGTCTTGCGGGATCTGGGGAGAAAGACGATGGAGGAAGCAGACCTGGAGACCGCTATTCTTCTCCTGTCCATGAACGAGATCACGAATGACGATTTAATGCAGACGGGAAAGATATCGTACGAAGAGCTGGCCGTCATGTACGTGTCCTGCTCTTGTTATATTCATATTTCTGATGATTCCATTTCAAGGCCATCGGGCGCGAAAACTGCGCTCATTGAACAGGTTCTTGAGCGGAAGATCGGCGAAGATACATTCAATTCCCTACCCGAGGAAGACCAACAGAATGCCCTCACGCACGTCTTCGGCGGCTGCTGTTGCCACAAAGATCTCAACGCTCTCCGATACGGCATGGCCCGCGTGCAGCGCGTGTACGACACTCATGATATTCCGAAGCCTGTTCTGCTCGCGACCAAGGCCAACAGCGCTGTCATCGACCTTGCCACTGCAACCGATGGCGCGGCATTCCAGCGTGCTGTAGAATCGAGTACCCGCGGCGCGATCAAGCTTTTATCCCTGCTCGGCTCTCTCCTCCGTCACAAAGATGGGCAGCGCGGCTACCAAGATAGGAGCAGTATATTTATGCGGGAGGCAAAGAAGGCACTGCACGATCTCGAGGAGTCGGGACAATTTCCTGGTGTCTCGGGCACTCGTTATAATTGCTATACCTATGGATCAGCTGAAACGATATGCTTTCCAGGTCCTATTCAGGAGCTTATTCAGGAGACTGAGCAGGGACTTGGACGACTGTACTTTCTACTCCTCGGCGACACCCGTTCTAATGAGGCATCTGCATCAACATTTCAATCCGCCCATGCCTGCATCCAGAATCTCACCAACCACACTAGACACCTGCGGCGTGTACTTGGACATGGTAAAACATGTGCCTTTTGCTTGTCGATGCTCAGGGCGTATCCAAAAACACTCTCTTGCAAAAATACACCCAAGGGGAGTCGAACCCCTGCCGCTTGCTTCGTGGTGCAGTGGAAATCGCGCTGTCACGTGATTTCCGGCTCCTGGAAGGCAAGCATGATAACCGCTTCACCATAGGTGTGTTGTAGAGGGCCTGTGTGATGTACTTTAGGGGGTTAAATTTGCAAGAAGTCAATTTTCAACTTCTCACTTCACCAGAGATCCCAAAGAGATCCCCCCTCATCCATGTCGCAGTACCCCAACCAAAGCTTTACTGAACCCGTGCGCGTGGTCACCAACCGAGATTCGTCTCTCTCCTAGTCTCACGGAGCCAGACTTTAGTTCAATTCGGATTGACAATGTTGGCAAGCATGTAAGTAATATCTCTCTCTGACCCTCGAGCTTTAACGCTCATGTCCTCCCCTTTCACCCAGATTCTTTTCCACCCACTGTATTGAATCCTGAATTTCAACTCAAGCAAACCATCTCATTGCAGTAAGTACCGTACATACACAAAACTCCCACAATAATCGCCCTCAACAAGCCGGAATCCCCGACACACCAGTCCCACAAGCATTTGTAAAAGCATTTGCTTTCGCATTCGAGAGACTAATCCCGCTGAAATTAATTCTCTCGCACGGAGTAGCTTTGTTGCAGTTCAACCACACGGCAGGGCGGGTGGGTGTGCCGCTGCCTACAAAGTTCTGGAAGGTGATGTCGGTGATGCTGAGTTTGCCCGTGTCGACGCCGTTGCCGGCCCAGAATGAGTTGATGTCTGCGTTGAGTCAGCCAAAGTTCAACATGGATGGGAGGGACTTGCTGATGGGATACGCAGCAGCGCTCAAAGTGAACCCGCTATAAGTGACGTTCCGCACGAACCCAACATTATCTGCCAGCCTCATTAACACATATTTCAGAGTTCAGGCAAGAGCGCACCGGGATATGATTTAAGCATGACGCCCGCGTCCGAGTTGGATATGGTGACGTTGGTGTAGCGGACATTCTGGACGCTCACATTGGTGTTGCCTGCGCCAAAGGAACCGATGTTGCACCCGGCGGTGTGGACACAGCGGATATTCTCCGCGACGAAGCCGTTTGTGGGCGTTTTGACGGTAACACACTGTGAAAGGTGAGGTAAATAATTTCCAAACGACGCACACACGCACCTCGTCGCCATTCTCAACGCTGACATCGTGAACGTAGCTGCGAAGATGTCAGCAGGAGAAAAGAGTTGATGAGGAGAGAGTCACTTGTTGTTTCCACTCATGTCGAACCCGTCGGTGGTTCCAATGTTCGTTGCAATGATGGCCATGTTGTGTGCGACATTACTGTTCAAATCGTCAACAAACGACCATCCTCCCTACTAGTACTCACTTGTTCCCAATGATGGTAACGTGGAACTGGGGAGCATCGTACAAAGTGACCGAAGTAATCTCGCAGCTATCCAGAATCAGACGCGAAATCACAGGACAAGGAACACCCACTTGTTGCAATCCTGGAACCGAATCAAGCGCGGACGCGACGGGTTGAGGCCGAGCTATCCCCAAGTCAGCCACAAATAAGTCAAAAATAACAACCACGCACATCTCCACCAGGCCTATACCTATACCCATTCCCGAAAATGGCACCAGGCCCATTCAACACGATATTATTGCAATTCTGGAACGTAAGCATCGTTCCAGTGAGGGTCGGGATGTAGGGAAGGTAGATGTTGCCCGTGATGTGCAAGTTCCAGTTGACGGCGGCGTTAAACACGACGTTGGTTTTGAGGAGGAAGTTGCCTGTCGGGACGAAAAGCAGAACGTCCGTCGCAACGGTGGTTTTGACGTTGGGGATGACACAGTTCTTCCATGCGCTGGTAAGCGCGGGACCAAGGTCGGTGGTGTTATCGGCGACGGCGCCATAGTCGAGGACGTTGCATTCGATGAACGCGGATACGGGGACCAGCGCAAGCGCTGCGATGGCGAATATGCGGGACAGCATGGTTTCCGAGATTGGTTGGTTTCATCGAGGGGAGCGGGGAATTTATAGACAATCGCGGACAAAGTAATTCAGAGGTTTATCCTTACCGGTTTACTTGGCGTGGGTCACCAGAGCGCTGAGCGGGGCCCGGTCTCAAAGCACATGGACGGGACTTCGTAGCCAGTCGGGAATACACAAATTACATAACTAGCAGGCAGGGATACCGGTGACACCTGAACCGCACGCGTTTGTAAAAGAGTTCGCTTTTGTATCCGTCAGACTGACGCCGTTGAATTTGATGTTCTCGCAAGGAGTGGCCTTGTTGCAGTCCAAAAGAACTGCAGGGCGGGTCGGCGTTCCGGTTCCCTGCATCAGATTAGTAGGGCAATAAGAGGAAACGTCGGACGCACGGTTATTGTGTTGAAGGTCACGTCCGAGATGGACAACTTTCCCGTGTCGACGCCATTCCCAGCCCAGAAGGCGCTAATGTCTAATATCTCCCAGTCAGCCCGGTTGCATGTAGAGAAGGACGACTTACAGAGCGGGTACGCTGCGGCGCTCATCTGGAAGTTGTTGTATGTGATGTTCTTCACAGTCCCAATGTTGTCCGGGTACGCCTTGATCATGATTCCGGCGTCCGAGTTGGAAATGGTGCTACAGAAAATGAGAAAAGCAGAGGATGAGAACAGCAAACCTACACGTCGCTGTACACCACGTTTTGTACATTCACCGCAGTGTTGGCTGATGCCCAAATGAGCATTGAACGCAAAGAAATCAGATCGCGTACTGTCGCCGAAACTTCCAATGTTGCACCCGGCGGTCCACTTGCAAGTGATGCGCTCGGCGACAAAGCCCTGTGCATGGTCAGTGACAAAGTATGAACCCAAGGAGTATCGTACATTGGTCGGGGTCTTGACAGTCACACACTGCAAAACGTTAACGATCGTGTCAGAGACGGCGAAAAATCCAACCTCATCGCCATTCTCAACCGAGACATCGTGCACGTAGCTTCAAGAAATGAGAGATGAACAGCCGTCGAGAATGGACCTACTTGTTGTTCCCACTCATATCGAAACCGTCCGTCTCCCCGATGTGGCTCGCAATGATGGCCATGTCGTGGGCCTCATTGCTTTGAATCACGTTGAGAAAGAATACTCTCAAAGAAACTGCAACCTACTTGTTGCCAATGATAGTGACGTGGAATTGAGGAGCATCGTAGAGCGTAACGGCCGTGATTTCACAACTAGAAATGTTCAGATGAGGCCGCAATTCGAAAAGTAGCACATACTCGTTGCAATCCTGGAACCGGATGAGGCGAGGGCGGCTGGGGTACAGGGTAAGCTAGAGACGCCGTCAGGTTCAACTGTGGTGATTGAAACTCTCAACGCACATCTCCACCCGGCCGGTACCGATACCCGTTTCCAAAGATGGAACCAGGTCCGTTGAGAAGGATATTTTGGCAGTTCTGAACACCCAATCCGTTAATCATCCGACGACATCACGTATAGTCAATTAGACCGACCTCAAACGTAAGCATGGTCCCCGTCAGACTCGGGTTGAACGGCAAGAAAATGTCGCCCGCAATATGCAGATTCCAATTCGCCGCCCCATTGAACGTGACGGTCGACGCGAGGAGATAGTTGCCCGCGGGGACGTACAGCAGGACGTTGTCCGCAACGGTGGTCGTCACCTGCGGGATGACGCACTGTTCCCACGCCTTGGTGAGCGCCGGTCCGAGGTCAGTGGTGTTGTCGGCGACCGCGCCGTAATCGAGCACGCTACATTCGATGAATGCCGCTGCCGGGGATACGAAGGTGAGTGCGAGTGCCAAGAGGGATGCGAGGGCGAGCATGGGTAGGCCAAGGATGATGGAGGTGGGTAGAATCGCTTGGCAATTTTGGTTTTATACTGGCCCGGAGTTTTCGAGGGTGTGGGGAGTGGGCAATGTGACGGTCGCTAATTGGCGTAGCCCTCTTCATCTCCAACGGATAGATTTCGATTGGGTGGGTGGAAAAACCTTGGAAACACATGTCCTGGTAGACTATATGCTCGACGGAAATTGGCGGGCCGTCTGGGGTTCATAACGCATTGCTGGAGGATAAATATAGCTCGCATTGCGACCAGAAGAACCGACTGCTACCGGAAAAAATGGACGAGCGCTGACCCGGACCACCTGACGGTGAGCTGGCGCGTGGCTAGATAAGTACCCGACAAGTTTTCAGAATTGCCAGCAAGCCTCTTCATCCGCAACTTGAGAGCGATCCAGGTTGGACTGAGAAGCCGTCTAGTCCGACAGTGCAGCCATCCCGACGAATGTGACGCGTACGGTCTTTGGTCAATGGTCAAGTGAGAATTTGATGACTTTGTTTAGTCCATGGAGAATTGATCCGAAAGCACTGCCACATTCGGCATGTTGTGGTTCAACTTGAAGCTGGTTGAGCCGGATACAAACAAGCCCGGGACCCTCCGGATTCCAAAATAATCGCTTAGTATTAGGCGTTCAATTGGACCATGCAAAAGAAGGCTTTATCTGTATGTGGTTTCTTTCTGGAACATGCCGAAACACTTCTATTATGCAATTGCGTCAGGAAGACTATATTTGTATGTGGTTTCTTGACCCGCCTCTCGTTCGCTCCTTGGACTGTAAAAAAACTTATGATGGCCAGTTCAAGTATGTATATAGGTCGAGGTCCGAGGAACAGAAACCTCCCGACCCAATCCTACTACGCTATGTTCGGTCTCGTCTCTGAATTCAAATCCTCATTAATCTTCTGGGCACTCCCACTCCTCCCAAGCGTCATCGCTTCATACACCGGTCTAGCCCTCGTGTGCGCATCGACGGCAATATACGCAGTATACCACCAAACACCGTCCGAAAAGCTGCGGCGTCTCCTAGATGGTATCACCACGACCTGGGAGATATTGAACAGCACAAAAACGGACTCGGGCTCATACGCCGTGCGAGTGAGAGGAATTCCGAGCCTGCTGGAGCTCGAAGACCGCTTGTTGCAGTACGTCGGAGACTAGTTCAACTTTTGATTGTTGGTTGATTCATTTTCCCCAGGGCTCAACTCTCGGCATCCTTAATCCGAGTTCGGCTGCTCGAATTGCGGGAAAAGCCGTGGGCAGGGTACCTTCGATCCCTGCCCCGAGTTATCACAGACATGGATCAATGTGCGC